TAAAATATTTTGAAGACCCTAGTAGAGTTAAAATATCGTCAATTAATGGGAGAGGATATGATGTTGGCTTTGTAATTTTATTCAATTGTCTAAAATCAACACAAAACCGTTTACTGCCGTCACGTTTCCCGACAATAACAACAGGAAATGAATAAGGGCTATGACTTCTTCTTATAATATTAGCATCTAACATCTCATCGATTGCGTCACTCATAAATTTTCTATTGTTTAAAGGTGTGCGATATGGGCGTAATTTGATTGGAGGATGATTACCTGTTGGTATTTTCATGGTTACAGTATCTGTCTGTGATAATTCAGAATCTTTATTTGCGAAAATATTTCTATTTTTCCTTAATAAGTCTCTAACAATATTAAAATGCTCTGAAGGTGTATGAATATCACGTTCGAAATCGTTGTTAAGAGGGGAAGTTGTTTGAAGAGCCTCTGTGACCGAGTTAATGCTCTCAACTTCTGAAACTTTAGCAACTACTGAATCTCGTTTCAATCTTATAGTTTTATGTGTATTATTGACAATCATAATAGGAAATCTTCTATCAGCCGAAAGTTTCATAACAGAATTTGTTATCATAAGACCTGGTTCAGAAGCAATCATTCCAGTTTCTATACTTTTTAATTCATATAATCTATCATTTTCCAAGCCTGGATTTTGTTTTAACTTAGCAGTGCACACATTAACTGTTTGAGGTTTCAGAATAACATCCTGTTTTAATCTAACAATTGATGCAATATGAATATCTTCTTCGAGGGGTACATATGTATTATTAACTCTTAAGCAGCCTAAATCAAAATATAATCTAACGCCATTTTGTGTTAACCAATCACGGCCTAAAATAATATTTCTATTCATTTTAGAAACAACATAGAATTTTTGAGTTGTTTCTGTTTTCCCTATTTGAAAATTTAGATTTATATAACCATCTATATGTAAATAATTTCCGTCAACTGAACATAAATTTATTTTCTGTTTTATAAGTTGAGGGGGATTCTTCAATTTTCTATATATTCTGCGATGCAGAAGACAAACTTCAGCACCTGAATCTACTAACGATCTGTATTTATAGTTTTCTATTTTAATCAAACACGAATTAGGGCTTCCAGCTAATGCTATACTAAATTTTGGTATTTTATCGTTCCTGTCAATGACCCCTTTGTGACAGGAACTTGCTAGTTTTCCTGAAAATTTATTTTGTTTCTGTCGTAAAAATTTTGTTTACGACATTCACGCATAATATGACCAAAATTATTACATTTCCAGCACTTAATCTTTGATTTCAAACTATTATTGCTATTATTTTTCCTAAATCGTGAAAAATTTTGTCGGTGAAATACAGAATATATTTCATTTTTCCTAAATCTACAACTACGTACATGGTGACCTGGTCTCTTACAGTACACGCATAAATTTCTTGTATAAAAATGATTAAAATTATTTGCTTTGTAATTCATGTATTTTGCGCGATTTTGAGAATTAGAAAATTTTACTCTGGCAGAAAATCTAGCTCTGAAATTCTGTTCATTCATTGCGTAAGTAATTGCTTCTTGTAAAGTTTTTGGCTTTTCTCTCATAAGTTTAAGTTTTAAATAATTATGCGCTAAATTATCCGTAAACAATTCTACTAACTGAAGTTCAATTAAACTATTATCTCCTAGTTTATAATTTTCATAAGCGGTTTCAGCACAATTAATAAATTTTTCCCCAAAAATTTGAACACTTTCTCCCAAATCTTGTTTTAAATTTCTCAAAAGATAAAATTCATGATGTAAATCTTTAATTTCCCCAAATCTAGTACTTATTTCTTCTTTTAATTGTTCCCACGAATTACGATGATTATTACGCAAATATCTACATATAAAATCGCTTACAGTCCCTTTACTTGATTGAAATGCGACTAATTTTATTTTATTATCATCCAAACCTTTTAAAATAGCATATTTTTCTATAGATTTTATCCAGTCATTAAAATATTTAGAATTTCCATCAAAATTTTGTACTATTTCTGATAAACCCTGTGTACCTATGATAGTTGAAATATTGTTCAATTTATCTGACAAATTTTCAAAAATTGTAGCTATATCTTGATCTGACATCTTCAAAATTAACAAATTACTGGTATATTAACGATCACTCACCTTTAATTTTCTGTTACAGGTACTTCGTTGTGTCCCGCTATCCAAAATCGTCGCTTCGACATCGCTGGTCTTAGGCGCCAAATCAACCGTTGTCGTATAACGGAGGAAGAACTCACGGATGTTACATACTTTTAATATACAAATACAAACACACAAGTGAACGAGTGGAATACCAAAGCTGAACTCCCGTACTCTGACATTTGAGAATAGTATATATAATATCAACCTGTCCTAAGGACATTTTATAATGTATCTAAATACACACGTTTTAGAGTTACATATATTAATCATCCTGACATAAGGTCAGTCCGTATGCATCTCCTGCACTATAATACTCATAAATCATGTCATGTTCCATAGTGCACATTAAGAAATAAAAACCCTAATATATGTATATACATGTTGACTTGTCATTCTTTTTGAATATAGCGTGTATGACTCATTAGCCTGTGCAACCAGCTATACGACAGTTTTATGTTGACCTTACTGCACTTGGCGTTGGTACTGGTTCACATGTGTAGTCATGAAAATTTAGCAACACATCAAGACACGACTGGTTGCATTCCTGAATGAAATTACCAGGTTCTTCAAATTCTGTCTGGATGGATATATTACACACTAACATGACATAAAAGTTGAACTTAAAAAAATATGAAAAGTAGTAGCTAATTAACATGCTACATTTGTTTGGTTAAGTTAAAAAAAAATAGCATAAGAAAATGAAAACAAGGTTGGAGTGCATTACAGCACAATTAAATATTTTAAATGTTTACAAGTGGCGATTATGATGAAGAGTCAAAAATCGCCTGGGGTCTTGGCCTCTTTTCCATTTATTTGAAACCTGTCGAAGATTGTATGCTATAATTGATAAATAAATCCGAATAACTTTCTATAAAGGGAAATTTTACCGAATCTTGGTCATTTTGAATAGCTTTTAAAATCAAATGTCGCTCACGATAAAAAATGAATGAACGAAGCCAACCGAGGTTGGAAAAGTTTTGTCAGTTCCAGAAGCAGTTGGAAATATTGTTGGAAGAGTGTATAACATGAACGGCCCCCTGCGCTCAACAAAATGTTCACTACATAGCAGTCGGTTTTCACTATAAATTACCACAGATTCATTTTATAGACTACTAAAATGTAGACGAAGTTGAACTTATTCTATAAGAAAACACTCCTAAAGATATAGATGACAATTAAATGTCTAGCAACCGAAGTATCACCATGCTTCGTGTTGAGTTATCTGTCCCTGAATGGTCTCTGTTTTCCAGTGTCAAAAGCAAGATTTGCCCAAACGGTCTAAAATCATGATTAATATTAAATATTAATGAATGGAATATCTTCGCAAAAACTATAGCATATTACGGTTACCACTTCTCAAAATTATTGCTTAATGCTGCACGCCTCCAGATGAGCCAAAATATTTCAAGACATTCAATCTTTAGACAAATGTATTGATATCTTTAGAAAATTAAAAAAAATCAATATCTAATTAATTATTTACATGTTATGTGCGATTAATGACTGATTTCGCAGTATCAATCACTATAATATTACTACGTTACTAACGCAGTTAGAGGTATTTGTGTAATTTTTGCCTCTTTTTTGGTAATTTACGTGGATTGTTAGTGCCGTTTGCAATGTGTAAATTATTTTATTTGTTCATTTCACAATATTTTACTTTGAAATAAATTCAAAATTTCATGAAAATTATCATGGATCTGGAGGCATGCTGCTTTTACTAACAGTCCTCTGAGCAAAAAAAGGTCATCTGGTAATGGAAATTATCGATGTTATTAGATTTCATAGCATTACTGCAGCCTCACACGTTAATCTTGTGACATAGCCAGAGTTAATGTTCCTAATAAACGATCTTGACGTGTTCCATTCCAATCAGACAAAGATCAAAATATTAATATTGTAACTGATGGGTTTTACAGACCTATAAAACAGTGAGCCCACAATATAACTATATGTAGTGTCATCTACAAACCATGTGCAATGACCCTTACTATTAAACCACGAAGTCGAAGTTTTCCTTCTGGGTAATGACAACATGATGTGAAGACACGGGTTTATATTACAATAATTAAAGTAATATAAAGCCGTGACACAGTATACTTTGTATAACAAGAGCTGCGGATATCGACTAATAAAATACTGGACGAAGTAAAGAAGACAAAATTGTGAAAGAAAAAATCAATAATGTATAATTATATGTATTAAGTTATAGTAAATAATAACATGTGTTAACATAAACTCAAAGTTCAAGAAGGAATAATTGTGGAAATAGTCATGCTAGAGTTATAAACCTTGTCACACAACATGTGTGTAATGATAAGAAATATATATATTTGAAGTGAAGTGAATACCTTAAAAAGTAAAGAAGTTATAATATTCTTTAAAGAAACTCTGGTATTTTCGATTAGGGAAAAACTCTCATGTAGCGTTACAACTAAAAAAAATGCTTTGGGTGTTTTGACAAAATCACATATACGGTATGTATGAAAATTATTGCTGTCATATTCCAGCAATAACAGTAAAAACATCTAACACGGTGCATAGCTTTTCATTTTCGGTAATTAATTTATTAAAGAACACACAAAGCGTAATTATCATGATTGTCTAAATTTGTTCACAAGTCAACCGGGCAGCAAGTGGGTCTGTGCTAATTAATGCTTCGAATAATAGGTGTGAAATTCCTTCATTATTGTATAATCGGGACCGAAATTTTAATTTGAAAGATATGAGGTATTCGGATAATGCATTTTGAATAATACACTTGTAGTATTTATATTGATTTGTGTAGAGATAAAAACTGAACCGCCTACATGCATCATCTTTGAATAATGCCGGGTATTGGAATAAGAGGGTTGTGGAATAATCGGGGTAGGTCTGTATTTTTAAGGAAAATTCAATGGGAGATTAATCATAAAATATATTGGTGCTCGTTATGAACCTTGTCACATAAGATATGGTTGATGATAAGGAACATAAATTTGAAAGATGAAAAAGTTATAGTGAAAAGTATTTTACGGCACCACAACTTTAATCAGATGAACGTGGACGCCTGGGCGAGTAGGAAGCTCTCCATATACTTTGTATAGTCGAGCTTAAAATAAATCTTATGAACCAGAGATTTAGCATGGTAGGCATAACCTCCGCGAAATTCAGCCATAAATCATTTTCATGTATAATTTATTTATTCTAGTTAAAGTCTCTATCTATATTTGTATACATTACAAAAGAGAGCAACTCTATGATAATTATATTTTTTTTACAGGAAGATCACGATACAAAAAAGTATGACATGAAATAAACACATATGGATTTTTAGCAATTTTATACGATGCGTCCATACAAATATTACGAATTATACAAATTGACCTAGATATTTTTATGATAAATCTGTGTACACAATTTCATTTTAATAGGCGCAATCTCTGTTATGTAACTGAAAGGAAACATTTTTCTAAATCCAAGGGGCATTACTCTGTCAAAATTGTTTGGACGTATCCAAAATAGAACTTGAACATGATATTCTTATGATAAATCTGTATACTAAATTTTGATTAAATACGTGACATCTTTGTAAGAAACTGAATGGAAACTGCAAATAAATGGAATTTCTGGGGGCATTAAGTTATGGGGCCATAACTGCCAAAAAATCAAGCAAAAAAACAAGATTATAACTATACACAACTATGCATGCTGACAAACAATGAAACTGTGAAGTTGCACTGTAATTCCTCCAGCAGTTATGCACAACAAGGCTTGGTGACAATCATGGTAAGTTTCAGTGAAATCACCCAGCCGTTTTGGTGATAATCGTGTACAGTGCTCTCTTGGCCATTTTAAATTTTCAGCAACCTTTTCAAAATGAAGAAAATACTTATCAACTTCTTTTTCTTGGAAAGGTGGAACAAGCATAATATTTTTAGTGACATCAAATTTTGAATTTATTCTATGTTCAAACTGATTTGCTCTCTCTTTTATTTCAAATATTTTATTCTTAACTGAAATTCTCTCTCTTCTCTTTCTTTTTCTAATTTTTTCTCTTCCCTTTCTTTTTCTAATTTTCTCTCTTCCCTTTCCTTTTCAAACTGTCTTTCCCTTTCTTTTTCTAACATTCTTTCTTCCCTTTCTTTTTCTAACTGTCTTTCTTCCCTTTCTTTTCTAGCTGCATTTTCTCTAGTTCAAATTTAAATAAAAGTTCAAGCTCTTTTATTTTTATTTCAGAAATTTCAGTGTGTTTTACAACAATGTGAGAAGGTGCATCTTGTCCAAAAATATCTTCATCCACAAAATAATGAATTAGAGAATTTTTTATTTTTTGTTTACGCATTGAAGATTTAATTTCTGAAAAATTATACTTTTATGCAAGATCAAGCAAATCAGTTTTCTTAGCCAAATCTAATACCTCCTGGTAAGGTTCAGCTACAAACTTTTCTAAATCAAAAGACATGACTGTTTGCTGCTTGTTTTAAACTTAAATATGGTGTGTTTAAAAAAAATTCAGAATTGAAAGGCACACTTAATAGAACAACTATGATATCAACTCAAATAAGTAAATACGGTTATAATAAAATGTAAAATAAACGGTAATAATTTCCAATAATGTAGCCAAAAAGAAATATTCAATCCCGGACGAGCCCCAAATTTCTGTTACGAGCCAGGTGTATCGAGAAAGAAAAGCCAGCAACAAACTTGTAACAATAACAAATTTATTACAGAAAAATTAATAAAGAAAATTAAAACAACAAATTATGTGTACAAATACCTGAAGTCCAAATATAAATGTAAAATTTAATGTCTAGTCTGATCCTGGAATGATCCCTTTTTGAATAGCACAGTTAAATCCAAGTTAAATCCAAGAACACTTTAGAATAAATTCCAACAATAAAATCCACAAGAATATATTTAACTATTTTAGAATAATCCAAGCTCCAATAAATCACTTAATATCCAAGTTGAATAATACTCCAAATAAATTGATGACTTAAAAGGTAACTGATGACTTCAAAGATCACTGATGACTTAAAAGGTAAAAGTAATGAAAAATGTCACTTTATATATATTAACTAAGAAAATTCCAGAAAAGTCTATTATGCTCTAAAGTTATCATAATCTAGCAACTTCAACAATAAAGAACATTCCAGAAGTTTCTATCTAAATATAATGCATGAGTTATCTACAACAGTTAAGAAAGTTCTAGTACATACATGTAGTTAATGTTCTAAAAATAGAACAATGATAATATTGGAAATACCAACTGGTCAGATATAAATTATATACATTTAATATGTTGCATACATAACAGTGTGTTCATTGAGGACAGAAATACATTTTTAGGTACTTGAACCGTATTCAATGAGGAATATCAATAAACTGTAATGTGTTAAATGAGGAATATCTTTTAAATGTTTTATAATACTGCATGTTTTTAGTCCCCTACCTTTTTAACCGGAGGGGACTTTAGGTTTACCCTCTGTCTGTATGTCTGTCCGTCCGTCTGTCTGTCTGTCCGTCTGTCTGTCTGTCAGTCCAAACGTCCACAAAACTGGATCCCGCGATAATGCAAAAAGTACTGAAATTCTTTTAATGAAACTTGATATATGGATAAATGGCAGTATGGAGATTATGCACGTCTTTTTTTTTTCTTCCTATGTTCAAAATTCTGGTTGCTATGGTAACAAATAGCCTGAAAATATGGCAAATTGAACACATAAACTGAATCCCGCGATAACGCAAAAAGGACTAATGATATTTTTATGAAACTTGATATATGGATAGATGGCAGTATGGAAATTATGCACGTCTTTTTTTTTCTTCCTATGTTCAAAATTCTGGTTGCTATGGCAACAAATAGCCTGAATTTCAAGATTTCTGATTTAATTTTTTCAGCTTTTTCACTATAAGTTCTTTATTTCTTAAGGTGTTTACTTCAAACTTTAAATATAAGTTTCTGGTCATCAACCACATCATATATGACAGGGTTTACAACTCTAGCACAAAAATTATCAGTATTATCTCCCTTGAACTTAGAATTTTTATGAAAAAAACTTCTTCATTCCTTAAAGGATTTACTTTAAAATCCCACATCGTAATAATATGACAAGGTTGTATAAACATAATTTCCTTACTAGGCAGGGATATAAACAAACTTAGAACTCAAAAGATTTAAGTTCATTCATGGTAAAGTTGACTGGCCAATGGCCCATCAGAAAGTTGCTGGGGTTCTAACCGGTAGGGGACTTATGGTTTGCTTGCAATACTATGATAATTGCTTGTTAACTTTGATTTTCAATGGATAATCATGACGTTTATTTATTTAATATACACGGCTACTATTGATTTATAAAGAAATCTCGCTTTATATTCCTCTAAAAATGGTGCTTCCTGTTCTATAAATTTGTTAAAAATATTTCAGACAGGTTATATGGCCGGACATAAATGGCTGTTTGCAATAAAACCCTCACCTTGTGGCTTGGGTATATTTACAATCGTTTATAAAGGGCCATATAACCTGTCAAAAATCTTTATAACTTATAATTAACACTGCTGCTGTGAATATATATATTTATTACCCTTCCAGATTTGTTCCGCCTTTTTGATTGGATATTGATCACCTGATTACCGAGCCAGACGAGTAATATACACACTAAATTTTCCCGTTGGGTACCCCACGTTGTAAACAACATGCGCTGTGGCTATGCGCGCACGGTTTGATTTTACGCCATGTAAATTCTGTTTTACAAGCACTTTTTTTAACTGTCAAGTGATAAATATTTTACCAAAATAGAGTAATGATACATGTTCTCATCAGTATTGAAAACAAAAATGACCTTGTGAAAGCTTGATATTAATTCCAAAAAAAAAAGCGTTCAACAGACTACTCCTTTTCTAATGTTTACATTTGTTAGGTTCGAATGAGAATGAAACTACGTCATGTATTTATGTGACGTCATGTTGGGATAATAGGGTACCCTAAAGGGAATCTTATCTCGACGTTTCATTTGAAGCAGCATTTATTTATTTTAAAATCGTCTTGACTCGGCAGGGGAAGCGTAATAAAATTATTATTTTGGTTTTGGAGTGATACATGTGGATATATTACCTGCCATGATATCACCTTCGCCTAACGGCTCGGATGGTATAAAATCTTGACAGGTAATATATCCACATATATCACTCCAAAACCAAAATAACATTTAATATGAAGAAATCTCCCTTTTTTCTCTAAAAAGGTGCTTGCTGCATTTTGAATATTTCTGACAGGTTATATGGCCTTCAACCATATATATACAGTTATATGCAAAATACACCTCGCCTTGCGGCTCGAGTTTCAATATTTTCAAACAACAGTTTATATATAAGTCCATATAGCCTGTCAATATTTTTATAACTAATAGTATACCATGAAAGTCAAAACCCAAACTAGTGTACGATATTTCACTACTCAAGGAATTACCTTTAGTAAAATTATGTTTTTCACAGTGAAATAATATTTGATAATTTTCACAGTGAAGTAATATATGATAATTTTTATCATGAAATTAATTATGATATTTGATAATTTTCACTGTTGATAGACTATTGTATTTAAAGGCGGATTTTTATTATATAAGATTGATGAGATTGAGAAAGTAGAAAAGAAAAAGGAGGAAAACAGTAGAAATGAAAAAAAAAAGAAGAAGAGATTAAACGTAAGGAAGAAACAAAGAGAAAGGAAGAAACAAAGAGAAAGGAAGAAGAGATTAAACGTAAGGAAGAAACAAAAAGAAATGATGAAAAGGTTAAGCGTAAGGATGAAACAAAGAGAAAAGAAAAAGAGATTAAACGTAAAGAGGAAACAAAGAGAAAAGAAGAAGAGATTAAACGTAAGGAGGAAACAAAGAGAAAAGAAGAAGAGATTAAACGTAAGGAGGAAACAAAGAGAAAAGAAGAAGAGATTAAACGTAAGGAGGAAACAAAGAGAAAAGAAGAAGAGATTAAACGTAAGGAGGAAATAAAAAGACAAGAAGAAGAGATTAAACGTAAGGAGGAAATAAAAAGACAGGAAGAAGAGATTAAACGTAAGGAGGAAACAAAGAGAAAAGAAGAAGAGATTAAACGTAAGGAGGAAACAAAGAGAAAAGAAGAAGAGATTAAACGTAAGGAGGAAACAAAGAGAAAGGAAGAAGAGATTAAACGTAAGGAGGAAACAAAGAGAAAGGAAGAGGAGATTAAACGCAAGGAGGAAACAAAGAGAAAGGAAGAGGAGATTAAACATAAGGAGGAAACAAAAAGACTGGAAGAAGAGGTTAAGGTTAAAGAGTCGACAAAAAGAAAGGATGAAGTGATTAAACGGAAAGAGGAGGAGAAAAGAAAAGAAGAAGAAAGAAAATATAAGGAAAAGGAGAATAAACAAAGGGATGAAAAGAGAAAATATATCGACAACAAGAAGGGTAAACAAGAGAAGGAGATTAAAGAAAAAGAGGAAATGAAAAAGGGAGTGATGAAAGAACGCATTGACAAAGTAGAGGATGAAGAAATAGAAAAAGTGAAAAGTTTAATAAGTAGGAAAAACAGAAAAAGAAAAATGATATATCAAGCAATTGAAAAAGAAGAGATAGAAGACGGTGAGTTTATTTATGAAATGATAACAATTGTGAAGAAATATAAAACTGAATAAATAAATGACGTAGCTGTAAAATGAAAACTGATGTAGCTGTAAAATGAAAACTGATGTAGCTGTAAAATGAAAACTGATGTAACTGTTAAATGAAAACTGATGTAACTGCTCATTGAAAACTGATGTAACTGAAAACTGATTAAAAAAAAAAGGACAAACAACAACCGTACATATACCTGAGGATAACATCTGGAGGTCCATGTATTATAAATAATGAAAAACTATTTAACATTGGACAAATTAATGATTATTATATATATATTGTTTTATGTTGACATTTACGATATATTTTAATATGTTTTACCTTACAATATCATATATTTAACTATTCATAGCAAATTCATTATTGTAGGGTATATTTAATAATGTACTATGGACATTATTACAAAAATATAAAGATATTTATGTCAAATAATTGTTAATGTTCATTTGATGTCAATATTGAATATGTAATACTGTTATATTTATATAAGTTAATTTAAGGTGTTGCTAATAATTATAATAATATTTATAATCTTACCACAGTTAGAAATTTGGACAATTCTTTTGAAAGGTGGGGGTAGTGCTAGGCTGTTCCCGACACACTCCCTTTTATTGACCGCATTTGTTTACCATGCTGATACGATATTCAGCGATAACATTTAATCATAACTTTATTGTCTCATATTTAAGTTAACTTACATTTAAATCCTGTCATGATTGATTGTTGATATATTCTTATATATGTCACTTTTTCTCATTATCAAATATTGTCCGAAATTAGTCCGCCATTTTGTTAACTATAATTATATTGTGACGTCACATTAACCCAGTTTTTTACGGGAAATCTTTCATTTTGACGTCATATGTACACAAAAGAAGCATATAAATAAACCGGCTTTCAATAAAGGGTTCATAACGGAAATGATAACGGAAAAGATAATGTAAAAGATACCTGAAATTGATAACAGAAAGATAAAAGCTATAAATCGAATAACAGTCTTAGAAATAAAAGATAAAGATATTAAGGTATTTTAAGTAATATTTATTCTATTTATTACATGTATTTGTTGATCACATGTATTTGTTTATCATTGACTGTCAAATATATTATTATCTGAGTGATATAAAAAAATAAAAGAATTATTTAATTTTACAAATTTGTTGTGACTATTGTTATAATCCTGACTCGGAACCGGCCTGACAATACCAATAAATTACTTTTCTGTTTTAAACATATGCTATTTCTACTTATCTTTTAAAAAAAGTGTGTTTTCTCGAACTTGTTTCTTACAAATGTATTTGTGCAACTCTTAGTCCTATTCGATTCACACTGGAAATAAATTTGTGTGTAGAGGCTTTAAGAATTGTTGTTTTAGAGGTTTATCCATATTCTTACTTTATGAAATTATTAACAATAACCAACCTTAAGCGAAATAAAACTGACTCATTTCAATAACAAGAACAGCAAAACAAATTAAAACTAGACACCACGTGATTAATATTTACTTTTTGTCCTAGCTGTGAACCAGCACAAAGTCTTATTGACGGGAGAGAACTCATGTATTGCTTCGGTATTTTCCGTGTGCAGAAGTTGTGAGGATACAATGCTACGCGGCGATTTAATCCAAGTTCATGGGTAGCACACAGCATACACAAATGTATGTTTATTCCTGATTGGAAACCTTCAATATGTTATAAAGTAAAATGCGAATTCTCCATTTCAGCTTTGTTCTTGTCGGTAAATGATCAATTTATAAATAACTCTTAAGTCTTGCAAATTCGAAACGAATTTAGAAGATGAAGAATTATTTTATGTCATTCCGTAACAATAGAGAATAGGCCTTGACACCTCTATACAACAAAAGAAAATAAAAAAGATTGTTTCTTAGCTACCTTGGTTATAAGTAGAGAAGGCATATTTCATGGAATGTGGTGCGACTGCTATTAAAGTTATGTGATTTTATCAGATCATGTTCTCTACTAATGATGATTCTTCTGTCAAATATCTAAATCTTATGTTTCGGAAACATGTAAATGTTGTCCGATTACAAAGTTTTTTTTAAAAAAAAAACAGTTCCTCTTCATAAATTCAGACAGCATGTATTCATATTCAATGATAATTACATTTTGCTCTTTGGATGGAAATTCCATTTTCAAACATTGATATGTAACACGCTGGACACTGACAACGATAATAGTGTTTGTAAAAGACTGTTGTAAATTTTTAAAAACTGTAGTATAGCATTAGATCATATCAAAATCGCGCTAAAATGTAAACGAATAAAATGCTCAACTTATAATCAGTGGAACTGGAATATTTATAAGTTTTAAGAAGCCATTTATTTCGTTTTAACATGTTATAAAGGTGATATTGGGAATAGTTTTGAAAATAACCGATTGAAATTTATATTTTTATATTGCTCTAGTTTACGTGACAATTGGCTTCAGTGTAAGTGGCTCATTAAATAGCAAATAAAAAAGGTGAAGCGTTTAGCATTTACATTTTAAATTATGATTACTATGACTATGGTATGTAATCACATTTTCTTACAAATTTCTCAGTATTTCTACAATTCTAGTACCTAACACCTTTTTCTATTTTATCTTAGTCAGTTACGTAAAACTATCAATAAACTACTATGGAAAAACTGTTACTCATAGTTGAGCACTTGACGTTTGAATTCACTTTAGAGTACTTTTATAATTATCCGAGAGACGTGTCCGTTAATTGAATGCTAACAAGTCCTGATCAAAGTGTAGTGATTTAAAATTAAGCATGACAATAACTGCAATGGTTGGTTTCGTACTTTGTGTGGTCGCTAGTATTAGTTTTGTCCTGCTATTCGAGGCCCTTTATCTCAAGCCTACAGTGATTCCAGCGAAAACAGTTTTTAATGGACCGACATTTTCGGAAACAAAGAATAAAACCACATTGAAGTATTTGCCTAAACGTCGAAAAGAAAATGTATCGAAAACCAACATCTATCCAATGGATGCTAAAACATCCAGTTTACAACAAAAAAAATCTCAGAAAAGTGCGAAGCGTTTTTTACTGTTTACTTCTGCCGGTGATAAAAATAACGTCAAACAATGGGCCGGTCCTGGGAGAAATTATGACATTGTTGTCGTTTATTATGGCGCTAAGACTTTCAAAATCGACGTTGACGAATTATATATACGTAAAGACACAAAATTTCCGAATTTGAAATGGTACATGCAAACGCATTCGATAGACAAGTACAAAGCTATTGCTGTTTGGGATGATGACCTTGTTGCTTCTGTAGAAAGCATCAACGCATTGTTTCTCGAGATGATTACTACGGTTGCTGGCATATTCTCACCATGCCACAAAAGAAGCGCCTTTCCTTCTCTATTGAGACAACAAGAACAAGGTGTACGTGACGTCAGATTTATAGAAATGAACGCTCCAATGTTTTTACCTTGGACATTGAATGACTTTATGGCTATATTCGATCCGATATTAAAAGGCTGGGGTACTGACATTTGGTATTCATACCGATGTAAATATATTCTTGATGAATGTGTCATGAGAGTTTCCGATACAACATGTGTTTATAATCCTAAAACACGAAAAGATGGTTCAAGAGAAATTAATAAAGCACAGCCTAAATATGTTCGTTTGAAAACATGGGTTCGTTTTGCCCATGATGCATTACACCAACCAAATAAATTGCCGCGTGATTCTTATGCAAACACAATTGGATGGCAACAGTTTTGTAAACATAACTTGAAAAGCAATCTTAGATTTGCTAAATATGCAGATAAAATAAATGTAAAGACAATTGTGCATAAATCCAATCTTAACATTAAAATTCCAACAACATATGCAACTGTCACAGACGCAGAGAACATAACTCTGAAAATGATACAAACACTTCCAAATAAGTATGTTTTTAAAGCAAGCCATGGATCATATATGACAGTAATAGTGAATAATGATTCCTTTGTTTGTCATGGTTTTTGTGCAACAGCAAATTATTTCGGAACATCCAAAAAAGCACAACTTGATTTTTTAAAAGGAAACTGTTATAAATGGCTGTCGATTGACTTTGGTAAGGTAAATAATGAACGGTTCTACTCTGAGATTCATCGACAGTGTTTCTTCGAAGAAATGATACCGCACAATAATGACTTCAAGGTACATATTTTCCATGGGAAACCGGCGATTATTGAAGTATTTACAGACAGGTTTAGAAATGTTAGTCAAACGTTTTACACACCTTCCTGGCGTAAAATAGAAATGACTAAAACAATACCGGAACCTGCAACTGTTGTGGAGAAGTCAGATCATTTGAGAGAGATGTTACAAGTTGCAGAACAACTTTCTCATAATATTTCTTTTATTTGTGTCGATTTGTATATCAGTGAACAAAATGTTGTATTTTCAAAATTAACTATATCACCAGTTGGGTGCCGCAGCACATATTCTCCGCCAATTGCAGATACATTTTACGGTGCAATGGCCGTTGGCGGTAATCAAGATCCAGAGAGCATTATTTGGCTGTTGAAATAAACCTAGTTTTGGTTAGTTTCTTCATATCAATAAAAGAAAAAGCGTTTGTGTTATAATTTGATATATAAATAATCAATTTATACATGTGATCTCGAATGTTTTAAAGAAATTGGATACTTGGCAATGTTTAATCATGTATCGGAATTAGTTATTCCCATCGCATTGCCACGCATCGTTGTCTAGCGTTTTAGTATATATGAAATATATTAGAATTAAGACGTGAATCTTTCAGGTTTCCGACGATCTTTTTCTATCCTATCCCGAAAGAAATAGTCTAGCTTAAATGCATTACTCAATCAAGTCTATCATATTATCATATATATTCCATTATTCATAAGATAAGTTAATGATACACACGTTACGATATACTATTGAAAATATAAAGGCGGAAATGTTTCGGCTTGATACACAAAAAACGGTGCAAATGTTATCTTTTTACGACCGAAGCTCAGAAACAGTAACATGTCTGAGCATATCTGAAACCTTTATAGTATGTTTGAAAGGTCACCCTAGGTTACAACATATAGGTGGTCGTCAGATCCTAATGAACCTAGCATTGATTAGAAACTTATTTTAATCTAATTGATATTAATATGTAATTTGATTTCAACTTGAGAAATGCATAATATTGTTTCTTTTACTACTGACTTATTACACTGAAATATTGCAATAACATTGTGTA